CCTCTCTTGATGGTCCTAGGGTCCTCTGTTTCTGGACTGTAAGATTAACCACTCCCCTTTTTTTGTTACAAAACTTCTACCTTTACAAGTGTGACGGTTGCAATTAGTCATGATAACAGTTATTCACTATTGAATCTTACGAATCTTATCCCCATCTCCTTTCACCAGACCCATCTAGACAAGATGATAGCTATTCACACTCTTAAACTAAGCTCCCTCTTGAAAGCCAGTCACTTCGTGTCTTTATTGCCCCCTCATTTTAGATAGCCAATGTTTAAGGTGCCCGTCCCTATCTACCCTGTGCACAGAGCGGATTAACACTGATACTTGATTTGAAGACTCTTTCCCTCTCTGTTGGTATTTAGAGTAACTACCGCTTTGAATATAGGTCAGGTTCATCATGAAGACTTATCTTCTGTCACTATAGCTGTTCCAGTCTGCTTGTCCTTTCTAGTGGGAATGTCTCACCTCATAAGGTTGTGGATGGGACTCAGGATTTCATCTAAGGTCCTATACTCTGTAAAGGCTTTGCACAAGGCCTATTTCACTGGGCAAGTTGTAGAACCCCTTTGAGGTATTCCAATCAGTTATATATAGGCTGAAGGTGGGCTTACAAGTTTTCTCTAATCATGTTTCCCAACATTCCTTTCTATCCCACTACTACAATAGTAGGCAAGGGAAACTAATGTTCATAAGGCAGTCAAGGATTTTAGTATTATTTACCCTCTTCAAGCTATACCTAGATCCCTGAATCCCAGAGCCCTATTGTTCCAAGGTTGAGTATGCATCACTATTTACCTCTGTCCCACTAGGCCATGCAAACCTGTCTCAGTGTTCCCCTATCTGTCTTGTTCTTCTGTCTCCTCCCCCCTTCTTGTATTGCCCTCCCCAACAGCCAAAATAAACCCCCCACCCCAACCCCATTGTGGTTACCTTATATTCCATTAGTTCTTCCCTCCATTTAAGGCAGTCTATTTTATCCAGTAATCTACCTGACCTTCCCACCACCTGGATCTCTGTTCTTCTGTGTTTACCTTTTTTAACTTTGTAATTGTTTTGATCATAGACTGACCTCCCAGGTCCTCTGTTCTTATCATTTTATTCTGTTCTTGACTCTTCATTTGTCGACTGAGTTCAGGTTGATGCTGCCATGTACGTCATTCTGTAGTTGTTGTGTTGTTTACATTGTGTTAAGTAAAGAAACTAGGGTTCAGAAACACTAAGTGAAGTCGCAAAACAACTAGGTAGAACAACTGGAATTTGCCAGTTGTTTGATCTGGAACCTGCGTACTTTTATCTCTACACAAAACTGTCTTGAAAACCAAATGCTCTATTTTTCTGTCCTAAATTGTTTACTTCAAAGCAGATGTCATTTATTTGATTCTTACATTATTTTTGATTCAATAAGCCATCTTTGGTATTTTAGATCCCAATTCTATTGGCTAAGGTGAGTGGCGGATGTGAAAATTGATGTTTGGGGGAATGCATTTTAGGGCAATGGAAAATTAACAGTGCATCACATTTTGACTGGGTTCAATATCCTATGTGGGCCCAGAAAGAAACATATAACACTTTCATGTTTCCTTTCAAATGATAAAACTGTTACTGTATAATGGGAGACTTGTATCCTTGCTCTGCTGTGCTATTAGTCCTCCGAGTTTCCTGTCAACCTGTGAGTGCTATTGCTGCTGTATTTGGTTGTCTTCAGTACCAGGAGTTGTTTTGTAAAGCAGATCTTTAACCATCACTAAGTTATTTTATGGATCCCTATAGCTATTTCTCATGGGTTTAGCATGCACTACAGAACTTTCATCAAAGTGTTATCTGTGTGTCCATGCAAGTGGGGATATTTGCCTCTGTGTCAAAATCCATGGTTATGTCTTTCTTGCTGAATATTATTAGCATTTGGGTGCATTCCTCCAAGACTGAAGCTATTTCCTACTTCTTAGAGTTAGGCTTATAACCAAGGGAAAATGTTTTCCATAAATATTTGCATTCTTTTCTATTGTTTCTTACCCAAATTGGAAAGTTGTTATTAAGCACTTTCAACAAATCCTCTTTGTTTTCAGACTTGTTAAAAGTCAGTAAAAGGGAAGTAGAAACTACCATTTGTTGTCAAGGTGAAGTGAGTTGATGCTGCATCTTTTATAATGAGTTTTTGTTCCCTGTAGAATGTTTGGGACCGGGACTGTTAAAGGTGTTACAGGAGACAGTGTTTAGGGCTACTGCCTGCAGCTAACAACCAAGACTAACTTATAAGAGCTGAGCTTGGGGGTGGGGAAGGCATTTATAACAGTCTGCAATTCACTGATGCTTCCCTATTGAACCTGACTAGGAGACAGTGAAAAAGATACAGCTAATGCAAATCTAAGAAGGATGGCTAATACCTGAATGACAGAATCAGGTTTCCAAAGGCTGGAACAATGGCTGAAAACAATGAGATGGAATTTAGGAAGGATAAATGTGAAGTGGGGTATTTGTATTCAAAAAGTCACCTACCTTATTACAGGAGAGGACAAGTGACTTGATGGGAGGGATGTGGACATGACATTTGAGATTTGTAGAAGCCTAAAATGAAGCTACACTCAACCTGGACTGTGACAAACAACATGGGGTTGAGGGAAGTAGACAATTGAATCAGTAATGGGTGTCATTCCAGTACTGAATCCAGTTCTGGGTGAGTGTCATGCTTTTAGAGAGTGTTGAAGCCAGGAGTGTTCAGAAAACACATGCTAGGGTAGAGCAAAGTCTGGACACCTCCTACAGGCGAAATTGAAAGGTGAATCATGTTCTACCTGACAAAGTGCAGACTTAGGGCATGACAGCTCTTTTCTGATTACCAGCTTTCTTGTGCAAGAGCTCAGCTTTCTTTTGGTTCTTAATAGGGTTGTGATGGTTGTGGGTATGTGCTGTGGAGTTAGGTCCTACTCATAATGACCCTGTATAGGGCTTTAATAACTGATTTTTGGGGGTGGTGGTGGTGCAAATGGTTAATGAAGTTAGCTCCTAACCAAAATATTGGAGGTTCGAGTACACCCAGAGGCACCTCAGAAGAAAGGCATGGAAATCTACTTCCGATAGATCACAGTCATTGAAAACCCTGTGGACCGTAGTTCTACTCTGACACCCATGGGATCAACATTAATCAAAAATGATGCTACACGTGTTTGGGTTTGGGGTGGGATTCAATCATTAATAGCCTCAGGGAGCTGAAATAGCTCAATTGCCATATGTATTTGTATAACAGAATCCTGGTATGGCACTGTAGGATAAGCACTGGACTATTAACTGAAAGATAAACAGTCTGGTTCAAACCCACCAGCTGTTCCTGGTAAACCCTATACAGGGTCTCTATGAGTTGGAACTGACTCAGTGGCACTTAATAACAACAGCAACTACAGCTTGTATAACTACCTTTCCTATTATGTGTTTACTATGTTTTAAAAATTATTCTTTGTTTCTTTAAGTAGTTTCATTTTTAATGCTGAAATTAAGAAAATGTTCACCACATATTTACTCTTAAATTTATTTTTACCTTTAAAATTTAATTCTGTGGGCTGTAAGTAGTAATTATTTTTTTTAATGTTGAGGATTCAGTTATCCAAAGTGTAAAATAAAACTTGTTTGTATGTTAATTTAGAAAAATCATCAGCAAAATATTTTGTAAGATAGGCCCATGGTCTCCACTGTGTATTGTATCTATTATTTTGCTAAGGTTATGGTGAAAACTTCTCTTTTCATTTTTTGGACAAGTTATAATATTTTCGGTTGAAAATACATTGAGAATTTAAAGTCAACTCTGTTAAACTTTTGATCACAAGATCAATCATCCCAAACTCTTACAATGTTGTTAAATGCCATTGAGTAGGTTCCGACTTATAATGACCCTGTATAGGGCTTCTGAAATTTTTTAAGCCTTGGCAGGAACAGAAAGACTCATCTTTCTCCCGTGGAGACGCTGGCGGGCTCAAACCTCGGATCTTGTGGTTCATACTCAGTGCTTATCGTGTTTGATTAGGTCTTAATTTTCATGATTCATAGCAACATTGGATTCCTGTTGAAGAACAATGTAATAGAGTGGTGGGAACAAGACAGAGTTAATATTCAGGGGGTCTAGCAAGGGTAAAGGAGTTCTGGTGTGGCGCTGTGGGTTAATGCACCAGACTGCAAAACTGTTTGGAATGCAAGATTGGCAGTTCAAGCTCACCAGCTGCTCCTCGGAAACCCTTGCTATGGGTCGGAACCGACTCGATGGCACTTAACAACAACAAAGCAAGGGTACAAGGAGTTCTGGTAGAGTAGTGCTTACGAATCAGGCTGCTAATCTCATGGTCAGCAGTTCGAAACTATAAGCTGTTCCGCGGGAGAAAGATTAGGCTTTCTGCTCCCAAAAAGATTTATAGCCTCAGAAACCCTGGATAGGGTCACTATGAGTCGGAACCGACTCAACGGCACATAAGAAAAACAACAAAGCAAGGGTAGAATCAGGGTCAAATCACAGGTCCTGAACAAAAAGATCAAGTCACCTTTAGTTTAGCATCCAGTTGGTGTGCCAGCATAGCTTATGGCAGAGGTCTGCTTGTTACTTACTTTGTTCTTCACTCTCTTATATTTTAGGTGGTTGCCTCTTTGATGAGCCATACAGCACCTGTGGATACAGTCAAGCTGAAGATGATGACTTTAATTGGGAGCAAGTGAACACCTTGACCAAACCAAGTTCTGACCCATGGATGCCATCAGGTTTGCATTTAGTGTAGGGTTTCTTTTAAAATAAAACATGTGAAAGAGCCTTAATCACAGGTTGTATATTGGTTGCATGTGAGAAGGTGTTGGTCTTTCACAGTGGCAATTAGAGGCTATTAGCTAGTAAGAATGATATAAATGAAAGGAACAACTGCAGAGTTTTAACTTTGCATGTCTCCGGTCAAAATCAGATTAAATTACTTCCTTTTTCTTTGGGTATGCCTGAATTAGATTAATGGACATTATCCAATTGATCCTTTCCTAAGCAGCAGCTATGGAAAGTAGATTGATTTCTGTTTTGACAAATGAATAGCACCCTATCCTGGAAGTGGACAATTTAGCCTTCAGGAACTTTTTTGCCATTTGGTAGATCTGGGAGAATGGCCAGTGGCCTTAAAAAATATTCTGACGATAAAATTGTTGTTAGATGCTTTCGAGCCAATTCTGACTCATAGTGACCCTGTATAGGGTTTTTGAAACTTTAAAAACCTTTTAGGGAGCAAAAAGCCTCAACTGCAACCAGTGCTTATCCTATGCTTGAAAGAAGATAAAATGGTGATGCATAAATGTGGATTATCTTCTGCTGTAGACGTACTTAGTTGTGTAATTTGGATTTCAGATGAAACACAATGTTTGTACTCTTGAACAAATGTAAAATCCTTCATTGATGCACCTAAATGTAGCAATAATTGCACTTAGTAAGTAAACTTGTAAAGGTAGCTTTAAAACCTAAGGTAGACTTTGCTATTGTTCTTACTGAGCTTTAACAACTATGATATATACCATTTTTTTGGTTGTTCCTTTGCATATTTAGCTCATATTTATATGAGTAACTTCAAAGGGAGGAACCTTGAGCTCTTTAGCTCTGTAGCTTTACCAGATCTCAGAACCTGTGAAGCTCTGGGTGACACCCCCAGAGCCTTCTCTTTCCCTCTTTTCCCTGCACATGCTATTTGAGTCAGGGGGATGCTTTCATTATTTTCCTAGATTCCAGTTATCTCATTAATTCTTGTCAATGAAGGGGAGCATAGCAGCTTTCACATGTGAAACTTCGCTTTCCCAAGCGCGTTTCTAATCCTCATGTCCTTTTGATTTTCTTCTGCTCCCTCTTGAGTATCCAGCCTATGTCCACAGAGGCTTGGAGCTGAGGTGAGGCTATGGCACATTTCTCCACAGGTCCTACTAGTAATTTCTTTGTTTATTCTAATTTGATGTAAATTTCACATTCACATGAAGGGATCACTTTCATTATTCTGGTCCTTTAGATTGAAGTTGGATTTACAAAAATTGCTTTTTACATAGAAGCCCAGATAATTGCCGTTACTGTCTTTAGCCTCTGTTGATTCTGTTTCTTTCACATGATACCCTGATTCTCCTTGGAAAAGAGGCCAGATAAATTGCTTCGTGCCACCCTCTTGTCCTTTTCATCTTCCTGATGTCAGCCCATGCTTTATAATACCATCTCAGACTGAGTTGTCTGAGTTTTAAATATAGAAAAATGGATCCTAGCAAGGACTGTTAACAGTTGGTAATAAAGATCAGTGACCAGTCATCTGGATAATTTAAAGAACAAAGGAAAGTTTTGAATTTGTAAGTATGAGGGAACTTAAAAAAATTTGTGGAAAAAGGTATTGAAAGATAATGGAGTTTTTTCATGAACTTTTTGAAGCCCCTTATATATCCCTTATATATATGAAAAATGTCAGCTTGAGGACTAAGGTGCATCTGACCCAAGCCATGGTATTTTCAATAACATCATATGCATGTGAAACTGGACAATGAATAAGGAAGACCTTGGAAGAATTGATGCATTTGAGTTATGGTGTTGGAGGAGAATACTGAAAGTGCCCTGGGTTGCTAAAAGAACCAATAGATCCACAGAAGAATTGCAGCCAGAGTGCTCCTTGGAGGCCAAGATAGCCAAACTTCGTCTCTCATACTTCAGAAATATTGTCAGGAGGGACCAGTCTCTGGAGAAGGATATCATGTTTCTAACTGACTCCGTGGCAATTAGCAACAATAGAATATTTAAGGACCTCTGGTGGTGAAAATGCTTATGTGTTTATAATCCCAAAGGTTGCCTGTTAGAATCTATCCAGTAGCTCTGAGGGGGAAGGCCTAGTGATCTCTGTCTCAGTCAAGATTACAGCATGGAAACCATATAGGTCAATTACACTCTGCCACTTGGGGTTGCCATGAGTTGAAATTGATTAAGTGGCATCTAATAACTCTGGTAGCGTAGTGGTTACGAATTGGGCTGCGAACCTTAAGGTCAGCGGTTCGAAACTACCGGCCGCTCCGCGGGAGAAAGATGAGGCTTTCTACTCCTGTAAAGATTTACACCCTCGGAAACCCTGTACAGGGTCGCTATGAGTCGGACCCGACTCGATGGCACTTAACAACAACAACAACAACAATAACAACAGTAGAATATGTGTGGAACGATTAGACCTTTGGAGTGTAAGATGTCTACATGTTACAACTTAACACTTTTGCCACTTCTGCCTGATTCCTGATGGTTGCTGGTTTTCCCTTACTACTTGCCCTCAACCATAGTATGCCTCATTTGAGCTTTTGAGTGGTTCAGCCATAAGTGTGAGGCAAGGGAGGAGAGAGCAATATAGTAATCTAGAGCTCTGGTAGCATAGTGGTTATGAGTTGGGCTGCTAATCACAAGGTTAGCAGTTTGAATATACCAGCTGCTCCATGGGAGATAAATGAGGCTTTCTACTCCCATAAATATTTGCAGCATTGGAAACTCTGAACAGGGTTGCAATGAGTTAGAACCTACTCAACTGCATACCACCACCACCAGTGCTGCTATAACAGAAATACCACCAGTGGATGGCTTTAGCAAACAAATGTATTCTCTGCCAGTTTAGAGGCTACAAGTCCAAATTCAGGGTGCCAACTCTAGGCGGAAGCTTTCTTCTTGTTTTGGTCTGGGGGAGGGTCCTTGCCTTCTTTCAATAACTGTGAGCCTGGCATTCATTCCTTGTAGATCTTCATGTGTCTTGCCATTGATTTTCTCCTGGGTCTACGAGGTTCCTAGTGCAGGGACCCTGGGTTAGTACATGTCTGTTCCCAGCTGTTCTTTCTTGGTAGTAGTTGCTGATCTCTGCTCAATTGTTTAATCTCTTTTATATGTCAAAAGAGCTTGACTGAAGATACAACCTAGTTCTGTGGATTGTATCTTGCTTCATTAACATGTTGTTGTTAAGTACTGTTCAGTAGGTTCTGACTCATAGAGACCTTGTATACGGTTTCTGAGGAGCAGCTGGTGGGTTTGAACTGCCGACCTTGTGGTTTGAAGTCCAGTACTGATCTTACAGTGCCACATCAAAATTCCCTCATTAACATTAATGCCTATGATATTGCCTCATTAACATCATAGAGTTTAAGGTTTATAATCCATTGGATAATTACATCAGATCACAAAATGGAGGATAATTACATAATGCTGAGAAGCATGTTCTAGACAGTTTGCATATTTAGGAGGGATACAATTCAGTCTGTAACAAAGGAAGGGACTATAAAAAGATTCCTTCTCTCTAGCGTATTTTTAAACTAGAGGAAAATTTATACATATGAAACAATGCACAATGTGTGTAAACCTAGATAAAATTAAGTGTGGTACAAATAGTGTTTTAAGAACAATTTTCTTAGTGCAAGCCCATTATGTTCTGGAGGAGAATGACCAGCTGAAATATCCATCTAAAGATAGAAGGGAATTTTTCAATGAATTATTATTGTTAGGTGTAAGGAAATACCTTTTTAACTTGCATATGTATCTTAATATGTAGATTTTAAAGCTGAGTTTCTAATATGCATATGTTGTTGTTAAGTGCAGTCAAGTTGCTTCTGACTCATCGTGATCCTGTGTAGGCTACAAATTTTTGTGAGAGCAGAAAGCCTCATCTTTCTGCCATGGAGCGACTGGTGGACTTGAACCACTGACCTTGTGATTCATAGTCCAGTGCTTATTCAATGGTGCCACATATATAGCCATAAAACAATAACAACGCTAGATCCTAAATCTGTTGCTGTTGAATCTATTCTGACTAACGGTAACTGCACGTGCTCCAGAAGGTGTTCTTGAGTCATCTTTATGGAAGCCAATTCCCAGGCCTTTCATTCGTGGTGCAACTTGGGGGAGGGGAGCCTAGAACTGCCAACTGTTAGGTTAATAGCTGTTAGAAGCAAGTCATTTGTATTGCCTAGTCCACCCATAACTCTTACATATTTTGTTGTTAAATGCCATGAAGTCAGGTCTGACTCATAGCAACCCTGTATAGGGTTTCTGAGGAGCAACTGGTGGGTTTGAACTGCCATCCTTGTGTTTCAAACCAACCTTGCTGTGCAGTGCTTATCCTATATCACCAACCATGATTCCTTGACATATATGACTTCAGGAATTTCTTCCTCTTTCCCTTCTTCCTCCTCTTCATCTGTTATTTATTCCTTTCAAAAACAGATTCCAAAACTAGTCCTCGTATACAAAAACAGAAACTAGATTAATGATTTTTCCAGGGTAAGTGGGAAGCAAGGTCTTGTGGAACCATAGGTTTTTAATAGTTAATTTTTTAAAACCTTTATTCAAAGCATAATTGGATTTGTCTTTCCCTGTATATGTCACACTGTAGGCTAGTTTTGTTACACATTAGACCAAAGGTTGCAAGCTGATTTTTACATTTTAAAATGTTTGGAAAATGTTGAAAGAATAATATTTTGTGACATGTGAAATTCATATAAAATTCAATTATCAGTGTCTATATACAGTTTTAAGGAGCTCTGGTAGCGTAGTGGTTACAAATCGCAGCGGTTCGAAACTACCAGCTGCTCCGCGGGAGAAAGATGAGGCTTTCTACTCCCGTAAAGATTTACACCCTCGGAAACCCTGTACAGGGTCGCTATGGGTTGGACCCGACTCGATGGCACTTAACAACAACAACAACAACATATACAGTTTTACTGCACAATGGCATGCCCACTAGTTT